AGGAAGATTCCTGGGTGTTGGGGTGCACCCGGTAGCACAGGTCAGTTGAAGAAAGAAGGCACTCCAAGATGAAATTTTAAGGGCTGTGTGGCAGCAGGAAAGTTCAGCCTCTCTGATGGACTGAATCCCTGAACAGCCATACAAAGGTGTATTTATTGAAAGTTACACAAAGTGTTTCCTCAAACCAAGATTGCTAATCTAATTCACATGTCTTACTGAAGGGGAACATCACATGCCCCATGACTCTAGTCCTTCATTACTATGGTTTGCAATACACAGTAATACAAGAGCCTCAGGTGTGCCTGAGATGTCTTGTGATCAAAGTCACGGGATGGCCACAATGCCCCTTCAGCAAAACAGTTCCACAGATCCCGGGAAATAATCACTGTTCTCCACAAGGACTCTTCAGGGTCAAAGTACTTCTAAGAAGGAGCAGTTCGTTCTGCTAATTCCTACCAGGTACCTGGGGAATTACAGTTATTTAGTAAAAGCCACGGGGAGGGCTACAATTGTCACTGTAGAATATCTTTATTCTTGTTAGGACAGTTTTTAAAAAATGGCTTTACTTTCTGTTCGTCTATGAACCTTTAGGAAAACATTGTAGGGGCAGGAGAGGGGACATGAGCAAGCCATGGTACAGACCTGGAGGTCAGAAGACAGCTTGTGGAGTTAGTTTTCTCCTTCCACCTTTACATGAGTTCCAGGAGTTAAACCTAGCCTGTGTGTCAACACCTTCACCCACTGAGCCATCTTCCTGGCCTGGATTTTAATACTCTTTATTTTATAATCCCATCTTTGTAATATATCTATTTATATAGCTCTTTAGTTGCTCAAAGGCATTACATTATGTAGACATAATTTATCAGTCTACTATGTCATTATTTCACCAGTTCAATTGGAGTAGAAAACTTGTCTCCTTTGAGTGCCTTATTCTTTAGATTCATTCAGCTTCTGGAATCTGGGAGTTTAGGTCTTCTGTTGAATTTAGGAGGTTTTCAGGCATTTTTCTAAGTACCTTTTCAGGTACTCTCAGGAATTTGCCCACATGAGTGTGAAATCTTTAATTATAGTGTTACATGTACTCAGTGCTTTTTAATGTTGGCTTCCATCTTCAGATCCACTGACTTTCTCTCTATGTATGTGTGCATGTGTGAAGGTCAGAGGACAGTTTGTAGGAGTCAGTTCTCTCCTACTGTGTGTTCTCTGGGAACTGAGCTCAGATCATAGGCTTTGGTGGCAGACACCTGCTGAACTACCTCACGAGCCCTTCCATCTGGTGTTTTGTATGTTTTTAGTTTTTGCTAAGAATTTCAACTTGTAACTCAACTCTTTTGTCACTGTATATTTGTAATTACTCACTAGAATGGTTTTGTGATGGCTTTATTTGACTCAAGTAACTCTAACATCTTTGTCTGTGAGGCTATTGATTATTGTTTCCCGTTCATTTGGAAATGTTCTTGCTTCTTTTGAAAAGGATCTCACTACATAGAGCAGGCTTACGTTGAACTCACAGAGATCCTCCTGTTTACCTCCCAGTGTAGAATTAAAGACATGTGCCACCACATCTGGCAAATATTCCTATGTCTTTGCTATTGTTTCCTGTTGTGCTAGGGATTTGTATGTCTACTTTTAAAAAGTTCTATTTCTATTTTTATATAGTGGGGTGCTTGATGGCTGTTGTTATTTGTATGATTTTGGTTTTCATGTAGCCCAGACTGACCTCAAATTCATTGTGTACCTGAGGCTGATCTTAACCCTTTGACCCTCCTCGTCCCCCAAGTGCCAGAATGCCCTGCCATGCCAATCACCAAGTTCTGTTTAGTGAGTGTGGGTGCTGTGCTGATCTGAAGACAGCTTGAGGGATTCAGTTCTCTCCATTACATGGGACCTGGGGATCAGTTCAGTTCATCAGGCTTAGTGGCAGACTCCTTTACCCATTGAGCCATTCTACCAGCTCTGTGGTATGTTTTGAAATTTTTAATGAAAACAAAAACATTTTGGTATTATGCATTTGGTGGTCTTATATAAGTCTGTCATAACAGGCCTCCTCTGAATATTGCTGCTGTCAGGAGAATTACCTTCTTCCTATTTATCTCTCAGAAAGGAGGTAAAAGTTTTAGACTCAGATTTTCCCTGAAACCTCTGTTTGGGTACTGAGGCTTGTAACAAGTTAGAGAGAGATGGGGCAGGTGCAGCAGAACTGTCTCAAGGTCTCTGATTTTGTGAAGCTGCCCCCTCCTGATCTTCATAGAGCAGCATTTGTGGGGTTTGGCTCTTTGCACTACTTGAGATTTCTCTACTGCTGATTCTCTCCTCCCTGTCTGAGATGTGGGAGCAGAAGAGAACTCAGGGGTTTCCCTGGCTTTGTCCTCTGGCTTTGTCCACCTTCTTTTGTTCTTTCACAGGGTTATCTTACCCTTTTTTCTACATAGAAAATCTAGCGTTTTTAGTTACAGTTAGTAGAAACGCAGAAAAGAGTGATTTTTTTTTCCCCACCAAAACATATCTGTGGTTTCATTTCTCAAATGACTGAAGATCTAGAAATGGGCCCAGTGCTTCTGAGGATGATCAGTGAATTACAACTGAGTGTCCCACCTAAAGCACCATCACACACCACGAGCCTCCTACCACTTCTTCAGGCTGTCCTGTAGCAGTGCAGCTCTCATCTGCAGGAGTACCTGGTTGGTTAACATCACAATCTGGATATTTTCTACACTAAACAGCGTTCCTCTGATCTTCCCCTTAACCTGAGATTTCTGGTATTTTGTCTTGTTTTATTTGGTGGTAGTTGCTGTTTTGTTTTGAGATATAGTCTTCTTATAAGCAAGACTGAGCTTGAATTCATGATCCTCCTGCCTTCACCTCCAAAGTGCTGGGATTGCAGTAACCATGCCTGGCCTGAGCTGAGTTTTGTAAGCCTGGAAAAGTTTCTCAAAAATAACCTTGTTAATCAAGGACAGTGGTGCATACCTGTAGTTAGAGCATTTAGGGGGCTGGTTCTGGAGAATAGCTCCTGGATCAAGACGAGTTTGGTCTATATAACATGAACCTGTCTTAAAAAACACAACTATAGGGCTAGAGAGATGGCTCAGTGGTTAAGAGTATTGCCTGCTCTTCCAAAGGTCCTGAGTTCAATTCCCAGCAACCACATGGTGGCTCACAGCCATCCGTAATGAGGTCTGGTGCCCTCTTCTGGCCTGCAGGCATACATGCAGACAGAATATTGTATACATAATAAATAAATAAATAAATATTTAAAAAAAAACACAACTATAGAAAATATTTCCTGTTTTCTTCCATAAACACTGTAGAGCTGTTGCTTACAAGCTGGGTTATAAAAGGCAAGAGCTATGTGCTTCCTCTAAGCCCGTAACTGCTGTTCCTTTATGGTAAAATAATAGGAAAAAAACAAGTGAATAGCTTGACCACTTTTACTTTTACCATTATCTCCCTCTAGGTTTGGGTTTTTTGTTTTGTTTTGGGTTTTGTTGTTGGTTTTGTTTTTTATTTGTTTTGCTTTTGTTTTAATAAAATTAAAAGGGCTTGGATAAAATGTAACTTTTTAAGACTTAAGGATTTAATTCCCCAGCCGGGTGTGGTGGTGCACTTAACTGCACTCTGGAGGCAGAGGTAGGTGGATCTCTGAGTTCAAGGACAGCTAGGGCTATGTGGAAAGACCCTGTCTCAAAAAAAAGTGGGATGGGGATCCAATTCCCCAACCTAGCTTGAATGGGAATCATTAGGAGATACCTGGGTCTGAACCGATGTTAAAGACTGAAAAGGTGATTTTACAGATCCCCCTGAGAACCAGGCAGACTGGTGCACAGCTGTAATTCCACTAATCAGAGGCCAGACAGAAAGATTACCTTTGTTCGAGGCCATCTTTGTCTACATAGCAAGTTCTAGGCCAATTCAGAGCTGAACAGGCACTTTGTCAGGGAACAGAACAAAAAGTCTGTGTTTCAAGTTCCTTACATTAGTGCGGTTCCCTGACTCCTGTCGCAGAGCAGCCCTTATTTCTACTTAATTCAGGCAGGAAACAGTGAAACATTTTATCTCGACCAGTCAGATGTCAGAGACTCAGCTGATTGTCTGCCGGTGGGTCACTTTTCATTTCTGGAGCCAGAGAAAGTGCTAGAACCAGGCATTCAAGTACTAGTGACTCTTACACTGTGCTCTTTACCCTTCAGAATAAGTGCCAAACTGGAAAACAAACCAATGGTGTCATTTGGTAGTTTGCTTCCTTAATGACTTCAGGTTGAAACAGGCATGATGCTGAAGAGCCTCCTGTTCTTTCCAGTCTGAAACATGCTCTCAGATGGAGAGCGCATATGGAAGTGAGAGTTAGACCTGTAATCCACTCGCACTGTAGATTACACCTAGAAAATCTAGCAATTTGGCTGTTTCAGGAAAAAAGACTTTTCCCTAATCCAAGGCTAAGGGCTGTTTACCTTTCTTTGCTGCCCTAAGTGTACCCTGAAGGACAGTTATCCCACAAGCGGCTTGATCCCCAGTGACTATTTCACCCTCACTTTGTAGACCCCAGCTCTCTGTCACTCACTTTGTAATATATACTCATGTTCCTGTTAAATGACTCATATATGGTCTGCTGTTCTCTATCAGTTCCTCGTTTCCTACTTAATTCTCTCAACTTTTTATTTACTTTTTGATTGATTTCTTTGGCTCTTTCCACCTCCAAAAATTGACTTTTATCTTGGGACCTTCAAATGTATTTAACTCTAAATTGTAAGTAATTGCCAAACACTGGACTAATATGCGCATAATAGCTTTATTCTGGTTTACATAGTAATAATCTTAGTGCCTAATTATTGTTAAAGTTTCTGGTTTTGATGGAATTACTGTTTTCATATACATATATTTAAATATCAGGAGTATGTGATATCTTTTTCTCTCTTTTTGCTCTTTGGGACATCCCTCCTCTTCCCTTCCTGTAAACTGTGACCCCTGCATGGCTGTGCCTTGTCCCTCATCGTCTATAGGGTTCTATGGCCTAGATGAGTCTGACCTTGACAAGGTCTTCCACTTGCCCACCACCACTTTCATCGGGGGACAGGAGTCTGCACTTCCTCTTCGGGAGATTATCCGGCGGCTGGAGGTAAGAACCGTTTATAGAAAAATCTATCAGACTTGAGACCAGGCTATTTGTTTTGGGCTTAGTCCTGAGTTTTTAAAAATGGAAAATAGCCTGTTTGTTTGTTTGTTTTTGTTTTATAACTAGAAATCTATTTTTTCATTAGTCATAAAGAGAGAAAAATTGGTTTAAAAAAAAAAGCCAGGTGGTGGTGGTGCACACCTTTAATCCCAGCACTCAGGAAACAGAGGCAGACAGATCTCTGAGTTCGAGGCCAGACTGGTCTACAGAGCAAGTTCCAGGACAGCTAGAACTGTTAAACAGAGAAACCCTGTTTGGGGGGGGGGGATCTGTTTTCAGCTCCCTCTAGATTTTATTTCAGGTGCATGTCTCCCTGGAAGATTCCCTTAACCTGTGTACAGGCCTGGAGCTGCAGAGTGCACTACACAGTGGTGGCTGCTCCTCTTCTACACCCACCCAACCCCATCTTATTTTTTTCTTTCTTTCTGTACTTTATTGATATTCAAGGGACTCTTTTTTGTATACTACAAATATCAGCTGAGAGCCTGGCTCTGGCATCAGGCTGCCTGTGTGTTTCCATCTCTCTTGGGCAAGTCGTTGCCTCTGTTCTGTATGTAAGGGTGCCTGGTCCAGAAGGGAGTGGATCTGCTGAGAGATGCTCATCCAGTATTAGCTGTTGCTTTTACTTAGTGCTGTCCACGGTATTCAGGACTAACAGGTTCTGAACCCATCGGCAGCATCAGATAATTCTTCATCAACCCAGACTGAAGCATAGTCACATCAGGGATACCTGGCCAGGGGGAGATCCTGCTGTGGTCACCTAAGTCAGAACTCTCCCCCAACACCCATATCACCCCTGGTGATTAGTGTTTCTTCCAGTGAGCTCATCTTTTGCACGTTCCAGGTCCATACTTAGCACATGAGTGATAGAAAATATTTTAATGTTACCTGGGACACTTCCTGTGTCTATTAAGCATCTCAGCTAAGAGCTGCCTAACTTTCTAATGGGCCCCTGGGAAAGCAAGGAGTGGAAACTGTTTACGTCTTTATCTAGAAGGAATGGTCATCTTACGGAAATGCTCAGGAATAATCCAATGTGATTGATTAACTTTGAGTCCCACCTGTGCATCATTGTCACAAACTGACACTGATTGCTGTCTGATCCTGCCCATTTCAGCGTGGGAGCCACCTATCAACTGTTGAGCACTTGAAGCCGGGCAGTGGTGGCTCACGCCTTTAATCCCAGAATCCAGGAGGCAGAGGCAGGCGAATCTCTGAGAGTTGAGGCTAGCCTGGTCTGTAGAACTATTGAACACTTGAAATGGGCAAAACACCTGGATAACTTTAACCATTGAAATGATATGTTTGATATATTGGGTCAAATAAGATAGGAAAATTCATCTCATCTATTTCTTCTAGGAAAATTTAACTTACTAAAGTTTTCTAAACATATGCTCTGTGTAATTACATCACAGCATAACACATATACACATCACATATAGGTGTATGGTAGTGAGGAGTTTATGTGCATACCTATATTCTAAGTTGGGATTGCTCTGAGGACAACAGTTATGGCTTGGGCTTCCTGGGGGCTCATGTCTTTCTGTGTTCTTTGGGTCTAAATTATGCAGAAGCATGCCTTGTCCTGCTGGTCACCAGATTCCTTACAGATCTGCAAAAATGAGACATGACAATGGACTGGTGAAAACTATGAAGTTATGAATAACTTAGTCTAATTTAGAAGTTCTGTGAGTTACAAGAACAATGGCAATGGGTTTTTGATCCTACTGCACGTACTGGCTTTGTGGGAGCCTAGGCAGTTTGGATGCTCACCTTACTAGACCTGGATGGAGGTGGATGGTCCTTGGACTTCCCACAGGGCAGAGAACCCTGATTGCTCTTTGGGCTGACGAGGGAGGGGGACTTGATTGGGGGAGGGAGATGGGGAGGGGGAGGGAAATGGGAGGCGGTGGCGGGGAAGAGACAGAAATCTTAAAGAAAGAAAGAAAGAAAGAAAGAAGAAAGAAAGAAGAAAGAAAAAGAAAGAAGAAAGGAAGGAAGGAAGGAAAGAAAGAGAAGAAGAAAGAAAAAGAAAGAAAGGAAGGAAGGAAGGAAGGAAGGAAGGAAGGAAGAAAGAAAGAAAGAAAGAAAGAAAGAAAGAAAGAAAGAAAGAAAGAAAGAAAGAAAGAAGTTCTGCGATTTACCATCTTAGATGATAAATCCCTGCACACAGGAAGCAAAGGCAGGAGGATCTCAGAGTCTGAGGCTAGCCTGGTCTACGTAGCAAGTACCAAAACTACATAGTGAGACCCTGTGTCAATAAAAAAGAAAAGAGGGCTGGAGAGATGGCTCAGAGGTTAAGACCACTGGCTGCTTTTTCAGAGGTCCCGAGTTCAATTCCCAGCAACCTCATGGTGCCTCCAAGGTATCTATAATGAGATCTGGTGCCCTCTTCTGGCATACAGGCATAAATGCAGGTAAAACACTGTATACATAATAAATAAACAAATCTTTAAAAGAAGAAAAAACATGGTATGAATTAATTATAACACCTTCAATTTCAGAGGTCTTCCAGGCTATATGATTTTTCTTTTGGCTAGAAAGGCTGTAGTATATGTTGGACAGCCTTACTTTTGTAAGTTCAGCCTTCTTTGACTCCACTGTACAACAGGCACCTGACCACAAGTCCAGCAAGCCTGTAACTGCCAGTGCCAGCTGGACTCACTGTCTAAAGCAAATGGAGGCACAGAAAGGAGTCACTGGGATCATATTCAGGCCTTTGGCTATTTGAAGACAACTGGGCTTGTGGGTCTGTAAAGTTGGCAACATCAGACACCCTGTTGCCTTTGCTATCCCATTGCTGCTCCCTGGCTTACTTTCACACCTGCATTCTGGGCCTCCAGGACAGTGGTATAAGTGGTAAAGGCTCAGCGAGAACCGTGAGTCTGTGTAAGACTAGGGTTGGGCATCCATGAGGTGGGTTTGCAAGAGCCACTCCAGATTATATGTGTGTGTGTATAAATATATTTCTCTTCCCTTAGTTTTCATTCCCCAAGAGCCAGCTATCTTACTGGTCTCCACCTTTGCAGGGATGACCACCACCCCCTTTCCAGACTTGGCTCAAGGCTCATCAGGTCTATTTATGACCTGTTCTTTTACCCAGTTGTGGCACACACCTTTAGGGGGCATTTGGGGGCAGAGGCAGGTGGATCTCTGACTTCAAAGCCAAGTGGGTCTGCATAGTGAGTTCCAAGATAGCCAGGGCTATATAGAGAGAGACCTTGTCTTAAACAAGCAAACCAACTAAAAAGTCCTGTCCTTTTTCCTATGCTGTCATGTTCTTCAGTCCTTAAGTTTTCAGGAAAATCAGTTATTAGAAAGTTGAATTTAAAGTCTTAAGTCTTTAACTTCAGCCACCAAGCTTTTCTTATCATGGATGGTGCACATACTATAAGGACAGCCAGCCTTTCTTAGAAAGGGATCCAGTCCAAAAGCTGGCATGGTCTCTGCTACTTACCATGAAAATAATGAACTGGTTGTTCATTAGCCTGGTTGACTCCTTGCTCCTCGGGTTCTCAGTGTACCAAACCAGATCCTAAGAATGTGCTGCATGGCTGTGTTAGAAGGACCTCAGAAGCTAGGTGTGGCATTTTTAAAAAAGACTTATTTATTACCTAAACAGTGTTCTGCCTGTCTGTCATAAGAGGGCACTAGATCTCATTACAGATGGTTGTGAGCCGCTATGTGGTTGCTGGGAATTGAACTCAGGACCTTTGGAAGGGTAGAAGCTAGTGCTCTTAACCTCTGAGTTATTCTCCATTTATAAGCTGGTAAGCCCAGCATAGAAGGACCAAGGCCGGAAGGTTGCAAGACTGATACTTACTTGATTTCTGCTTTCTGTCACAGCACTTTAGATATATAGGAGAAGGAAGTTTGTTCCTCCCTAGCCTGGATAATAGGGCAGTTGGTACTTTCTTACATTTGCCTGTATGAGGGTGGTGGACAGGTAGATGGCTAATTGCTGGCACACTGGAATTGTAGTCCATGTTCACCAGTGGCTTTTGTGTCCCTATGTATATATGAACAGATGGCCTACTGTCAGCACATTGGTGTGGAGTTCATGTTCATTAATGATTTGGAACAATGCCAATGGATCCGGCAGAAGTTTGAGACTCCTGGAATCATGCAGTTCACCAATGAGGAAAAGCGGACCCTGCTGGCCAGGCTTGTACGGTCCACCAGGTAAAGAGGTGTGATTTAGGCCATGGGCGCCCAGGGGATCCATGGCGTATTTGTGGAATCTGGGTAGCCTGTCCTCCAGGGTGGTGAGCAAGCAGGAGAACAGAATTGGCCTCCATTGTACCCTCTTGTCATTTGAGAATGCCTACCATTGAGACTGGCTCTATGGGCATTGCTCTTTAAGGTGCTTGGTTCTCTATCCAGGTTTGAGGAGTTCCTACAGCGGAAATGGTCTTCTGAGAAGCGTTTTGGTCTGGAAGGTTGTGAGGTGCTGATCCCTGCCCTCAAGACAATCATTGACAAGTCAAGTGAAAATGGAATAGACTATGTGATCATGGGAATGCCACACAGGTACTTTAGGTCACTGGGGCCTTGGAGACAGAGTAGTCGGGCCCTGCTGCTCGCTCATCCAGTGCAGCTAGAGATCTGGTGGTACCTGAGTGTGTGAAGATGTGTTACTTTCCAAGTTTTCACCCTCCCACATCAGGGTGACTACAGAGTCAGGGTCAAAGTGAAAGCCAAATATGGTTAGACTCGTATTTCATTCTATAGTGAGTTTTGTTAAAATTAAATCGAGGTAGACACGGTAATACATACCTATAATCACAGTACTTGAGAGGCTAGGGCAGGAAGATCACAAAATTCCAGTCCAACTTGGACTATAAAGTGCTAGACTAGCCTTTGTTGCACACACAGTGTATCATAAGTAAATCAACCCCAGTGCCATTGCTGCTGTCTCACTTGTAATAATGACTGCTCTCTGAGGTTTGGGAGAGGCGGGGAGCTGGAGCTGGTAGCTTTTGTACTTTCTGTCTTTTCTTGTTCATGGGTTATGGCTCAACATGCTTTGGATCATAACTGTTCTTGGGCTACAAACCAAGATGTGTCCTGGGTAAGGGGTATAGCTGGGCAGCTTTGCCCTGAGATTACTCACTCTTCCCTGTGTCCCAGAGGACGACTGAATGTGCTTGCAAATGTCATCAGGAAGGAGCTGGAGCAGATTTTCTGTCAGTTTGACTCAAAGCTGGAAGCAGCGGATGAGGTGAGGTTCTGTATGGAGATACATTCACTGTGGTTGGTCTGCTTGAGACCCCCTACAGCCACTGGTTTCTCAGAATGTCTTAACCAAAGCGCCACTCTTCAGACCATTTACAGTTTGCCTTCCTTACTGGAATTGGCCCACCTCCTCTACCTGCCTTATATTCCTCCTGCTGGGGGCAAGAATATTTTACTTCTGCCCAGGTGACCCTATACTTGTGCCTGGGGGGGATAATGTTGGGGAAGCTTTCCCCTTCCTCCTACAGTTGGACCCTAGGAGTCAAAATCCCATCTGTAGGGCTGCCATTAAGAATGAACCGCTTCTACCATCATTATTCAACAATCATTGTCATGTTTATCATCAGGGTTCCGGGGACATGAAGTACCACCTGGGCATGTATCACCGCAGGATCAACCGTGTGACGGACAGAAACATCACTCTGTCCCTGGTGGCAAACCCTTCCCACCTAGAGGCTGCTGACCCTGTGGTGATGGGCAAGACCAAAGCTGAGCAGTTTTATTGTGGAGACACTGAAGGGAAAAAGGTGAGGCCCTGAGAGACTGTGAGTAAAGTTCCTTCTGCCCGTATTGCACACAGTGCTTTACACATTGTCTTCACAGAATTGATGGAGGAACAGAAAAAGGGACTGCCAGGAAAAGGTGTGGGACTCAGATGTTAGAAGAGAGTGGCACTGATCAGGGCAAAAGTGCATGTCAGACAGCTCCCAACTGTCCTGGCATTTCCTTTGTGTGATAGAGAATGCTGAATATTGGTTGGCTGGCCTGCTCAAATATATAAACCTTTATCTGACTGTAATCTAAAACCCTTATCTGACTGTAATCTTATCCTTATTTAACCTCAGCATATAATTCTTAGTTTGTAGCAATTTTATATTTCCATAAAGTTGTTTAGTTCTTATTAAAAAATGGTATTAAGGAGCTGGAGAGGTGGCTCAGAGGTTAAGGGCACTGACTACTCTTCTAGAGGTCCTGAGTTCAATTCCTAGCAACTACATGTTGGCTCACAACCATCTATAATGAGATCTGGTGCCCTCTTCTGGCATGTTGGCATACATGCAGGAGGAACACTATGTATATAATAGATTAATATATAAATTTTTTTAATGATGTTAAAAACTAAGAAACCAGGGGGAAAAGTCATGTATTCATATTCATTGTACGTGGTATAATGTCCATTGAGTGATACGTAAAAAAGACACTGTCAGCCCACTCTCAGGGATCTTTGCTGTTTGAAGAAAGGTAAAAGAAAAAGGGGGGGAAATGCCAGGAAGTCATTGAACAGTGAGTAAAGCAGAGCTGCAGAACGGACCATACAGTGCTTTAGAATAAGCCTCTGTAGACGTGAGGTCAAGTTAGATGAGACAATCAGACGTATCAGGGCTGGAGAGATGCCTGAACGGCTAAGAATACATGATATTCCTGGAGTGGACCTGAGCTCAATTCCCAGCACTCACACCTTTGAATGACTGCCTGTAACTCTAGCTCCAGGGAATCTAATGCTGTTTGGCCTTAGCACACCCTGCACACATTGTACATGTATGCACACATAATTTAAAAACCAAAAAAAAAAAGTTAAGATATTGAAGAAACAATATGATTTAGGGAGGTAAAAGGAAAGAATATTTGTGAAGACGGACAAAAAGTGGAGAGGGGGTTGGGACCATAGCAGCAACCAGCCTCTCAGAGTAGCCTGTAGGGGGGTACAATTAGGGTAGGGGCTGCAGTACTTATTTTTTATTTATTTAAAGGCAGATTCATACTATAGCCCAGGCTAGTCTCAGCTAAGAGAGTCTGCCTCAGCCATTCCTGAGTGCTTGGATTTTATATGTGTACCACCATACCTGCTTTGGCTATTTAAAATACTATAAATCAGGGCTGGAGAGATGGCTCAGCAGTTAAAAATTCTTGTTGTTCTTGGAGATGTGGTGCACAGAATGCATGAAGGCAAAACTCCTACACACAAGTTAAAGAAGAAAAAACAAGTTATAAGTCATAGTATTGTGCTTGGTGCCTTAGAGGAAAGTGACAGAGCTGGCTGGGATAGCCTTGAAAGGTGAAAGGAATTTCTCATTGATGATACTGTCACAGGCACACAGAGGACACTTACTGGGTTCCAGTTTAGGGGCTGGGTGGTGCCATAGAAAATCTTTAAGTAGACAAAGAACACCTACAGTGAAGCTTCAGCTATGTTGGGAGACAAGTAGCCGTAGCCCCATATCCACTTAGAACACTGGGGCTATGTGAGGGGTCTGACCCGGATATTTGGTATGGGATAGTAAAATGAAGTTGTAAGTAGGTTTAAGCGGCTTCTGCCTTTGAAAATGTAGACAAAAATCCATTCAGGCAGACCTTGTTTAGAATATTAGATGTGTCCTGAAAGGTGGTAAAATAATGAGAAAGGTAGCAGAGAAGGGGTCAATATTTGGTCCTTTTTAGGATCTAAACCAAGGGAATTGGCTAGCTCCTGGTTGGCTGGAAATTCACACATATTTTGGTTTGGGTTGAGTTTTTTTAACTTAATTTATCTTACTGCATTAGTGTTATACCTGCATGTATGTCTGTGTGAGGGTGTTGAATCCTGGAGTTACAGACAGTTGTGAGCTGCCATGTGAGTGCTGGGAATTGAACTCAGGGCCTCTGGAAGAACAGACAGTGCTCTTGCCTGATAAGCCATCTCTGTAGCTCCATTCCTCGTGTTCAAGGAGTGTCCTATCCACATGTAGTTCATTGTTGTGCTTTCCTTTTCTGCAGTGCAGGTAGCTGCCAGCCCAATTTCTGAGTTACTTCCTCACCTTGCTCTAAGTGCCTTGCATGATCTCAGCTAGGTGAAGAGAAAGCTTAGTTGGTCTCTTGTCTATTTTTGCTACTTTTCTGACATTCCTTAGAAATGATTTGATTTTTGCTAAATCTAGAGCTCAGTAAGATGGCAGGTTACATAATCTTAGTGCTCAGGGAAAACTGCATACTTCGTGTAAATTGGCCTGAGGTCAGTCTATATAACCTTGTACATTGAGAAACTCACCCAATTTGACTTGGTACTAATGTGGCCTTTGAGATTTTGTATTCCAGAAACATTTTCTCGGTGAAAGTTTAAATCACTGCTCTAGCCGAGTTGTAGTTACTTCTCTATGGTTGTGATAAGATACTGTGACCAAAAGCAACTAGGAGAGGTATTGTCATTTCAGCTACAGTTCCATATCACAGTCCACCATCAGAGGAGGTCAGGGCATCAGCTGAAGGCAAGAACTGAGGCAGACCGTGGAGAGAGCTGCTTAATGACCTGTCCCTCGTAGCTTGTTCAGCCTGCTTTCTTACAGCACCTAGGACCGTCAGCCCAGGGGTGGCACCACCCACAGTGAATTGAGCCCTCCCACACCAGTCATCAATCAAGAAACAGTCTGGTGGGGGCATTTTCTTAGTTGAGGTTCCCTCTATCCAAATGACTGATTTGTGCCAGTTGATATAAAACTAGCCTGTATAAGTGCTCAGCCAGTGCAAAGGAAAACTTGCTCCTGCCAGAGGTGTTACATCTCTAGACTCAAAGGATGTCCATGTGTGCCTAGGATGATTTCAGTAGCTCACCACCATTTCCCGTATAATACCATAAGGAGTTAGCATGGGCCCTGTGTTTAGTTTGCAGCACTGTATAAAACTGAATATGGTGGTGCATTCCTATAATACCAACTCTTAGGAGATAGAAGTAAAGGATGAAGAGTTCAGAGGTCACCCTTGTCTACATAGGAACTTTTAAGCCAGCGTTGGCTCATGAAACCCTCTTTTAAACACCCAGGTACTAAAAAGAGAAGGAATTCTGCCTCTAAATAGTTTCAGACTCACACTGAATTTTCAGTTCTTCCCTAGATCTGTAGCCGTCCGTCCCCCCCCCCACACACACACACACCTCACAGTGCTTAAACATGCCAGCTTACTTCCTTAAAATCAGCTAGGCAGTCCTATACCAACCTCTCCCTCATTAGCTGTTTTTTTTGGTTTTTGTTTTTTTTTTTTGTTTTGGTGTGTGTGTGTGTGTGTGTGTGTGTGTGTGTGTGTGTGTGTGTGTGTGAGATTGGGAAAGAAATAGGCTATATAGCCAAAGAATGGGTCCTACTGGGAATGCTGAGTAAACTCTGTGGGTAGCTGGAGATGTTGGTAGATGTGGTATACAGAGATATAGAAATAACATTTGTGTGTGCACACCCATATATTCCCTAGCTCTGTGCTTAGAGACTGGTGTTGGTTAACAGATAGCTATGAATCTAAGTCCTATCCTTTACTGGAGGAATCAGGGCTGGTAATAGACAGCACAATATGAGGCTGCAGTGCTGTGGTACCAGGAAATAAGGTACCCTGGAAGATCCAGCACATTGAAATAATGTGAGCATCAGAATAACTGATGGTATCCTGAACCTCTTATGTGCACTCTGTAGAATGAGAGGAATCATGAGCATACAATCCTAAATCAGGGAGAAGGAAGAAGATGCAATTAATAGATGCAGAAGTAATAAATCAGAGATCATCATTCATTAGCCACTCAAGGAACTAGCTGAGGTGGGTCCAGATGTTGCTGAGGCTGAGATGAAGGTTTGATCGAGAAGGAATAAGGTGAAGTTCTTCCCACCAATTACACTGTGTGCTCATTGCTGAGAAGATGAATTGAAGAGAAATTGGCAGACAATGACCAGACCAGGTGACCTGAGCTAATCTATCTGGTATATAGGAGCAGCCAGAGACATAACAACTGAGGAAACATTCCCTGGGTGGCTGGGGCTGCAGTTGTTTTCTTGGATGGGAGGGTTTGTAAGGTGTAGAATGCTATCTCGCAGTTCTCTATATTCAGGGCAGGTGCTAGCAGGCAGTGGCACATGTGGATATGGCAGCAAGTCAGCTAGAAGGGATGCCCTTCTAAAAGCCTTTGTACTGCTGTTACTTTGTGAGTTGTGAATGACCTTAAAACATTACCCTTGAAAAAAATTACGAGCTGCACAAGATAACTCAGTGCATAAAGGAGCTTGCTTGATCCCCAGAACCTACAAAAATGTGGAAAAAGAGAACCCACCTCTACAAGGTGGTCTTCTGACCTCCACACATGCTGTGGCGTGTGTACCCTATTCTCCATTTCATGCACAAAACACAAGTAATCAAAACTAATTGCAGCTCATTTCATCCACTTGTTTTGTGAACTTAATGTCAAGATATTTTACTTTGGAGTCTCTTTTGCAGGTGATGTCTATCCTGCTGCATGGGGACGCTGCCTTTGCTGGCCAGGGCATCGTGTATGAGACCTTCCATCTCAGTGATTTGCCATCCTACACAACCCATGGCACTGTACATGTGGTTGTCAACAACCAGGTAACCTTAGGTGTCTGTCTGTTACCTCCTGTGTGTCTCCCTGGCCATCTAAAATTTGGAAAACACATAGCATTAGAGAGCTGGCTCAACGATTAAGAGAGCTCTGCTGTTCTTCCAGATGTCCTGAGTTCAATTCCCAGCACCTACATGCCAGATCACAACTGTCTATAACTGTAGTCCTAGGAATCTGATGCCCTCTTCTGGTGTGTGTACAAAACACATACAAAATAAATAAATTTCTTTGGGTAACCCAGAAAGCCACTTTTTACAATGGAAAGATTTTATTTACATTATTAAGGGGAGGGCATTATTGTTTTAGAGTATTTCTGTCTGAGGCCACAGTTCTAGGTAATTGGTTTTCTCATTAAGAGACTGGAGTCCTATATATACACATATTACTATCCGCTTTTATCCACCATATTATTTCCTGATGTCATTATGTGGTCCTTTAAAACCGTTTTCGCAGAAGTAGTCATTACAGATTGTTTCATAAAATGGACTTCTAATCTTAGATTTTCTTCTTTCGAGTATTCTTCTAGTTGTCACAGTTCAGTTCTGGCCATTGTTGACACGTCATCTGTTACCTAGTATGTCCTTCCTTTGGGTCATCTAACCCAGTATACGTAACTCTCCCAACAAATACTCCACTACTGACTAAGTATAAATACCATATTGGGCATCAAACAGAGCAAGAGCTGCTGTGCTCTACTAACACAGAACTCAGATTCCATTGGGTGGGGACTTAAAATACCAAGAAGGAAAGGGAGGCCAGAGGTTGATAGCTAGTAATTTACAAAGAAAGCTGAAGACCAGATGCATCGTGAGATTGTGGGAGGGACTGGTAAGTGACAAGTGATATCACACTGCATGGCAAAACTGCCATTGACTGAGTGTGTATGGTCTGCAACATATCAAATCAGGAAGCTCACGTGCAGTAAGTAACTCAGTCCATGGGATTGTCACCTGTGCAGTAATCTCAGTCTCTCTCTCTCCCTCTCTCTCTCTCTCTCTCTCTCTCTCTCTCTTTTTCTCACATTAATCCCTGGCTGGCTGAGAACTTGGTATGTAGACCAGGATGGCATAGACCTCACAGAGATCCACCTGCTTTTGTTTCCCAGTCCTGGGGTTAAAGGCGTGTGCCATCACATCCAGCTATGGTATTACTAGTTTCCAAAAAGGAACACTGAGAAACAGGGACTGAGTAGCTTGCTCGAGGTAGGTGATAGTACTAGTATGTAATCCGCCTGCTTTCAGAGAATGGTATTCAGAAGCCTTGGGAAAAAATACCAGGGACAAAGAAATACCTTTTAAAATAAACAAAAATCTCCACTAATGAACTTTTCCCCTTTTTTATATTGTGGTGAAATACCTAGCAAGCTCGTTATCATAACCATTTCTAATGAACCCTTTAATTCTATTAAACACATCCATAATATGCAATCACCACCATTCATCTCTGTCAACAGAAGCTCCACATTAAACCACCACTGCCTGGAACCAGAGAGGGGCTCGGTGGTTAAGAGTGCTTGCTGCCCTTCCTGAGGACCTGAGTGGAGTTTCCAGTACCCACTTTGGGCCTTTCATAATTACCCAGTGTCAGCTTTTTTTTCTGGCTTCTGTGGTCACCCACACACGTGTATCAGGCACTCACAGACAGACATACACACACACACACACACACACACACACAGAATAAAATAAATGTTAAACAAAAACAATTGCTGCCTATTCTCTGTTTCCTCTCCCCTGCTCCTGGGAACCACCATTTTACTGTCTGTCTCTAATTTGTGGTTACTCTGGGTACCTTATTTCAGTGGCATCCTATGGTATTCGTCTTCTTTTTTTAAATAATTTATTTAACTTTATTTTATGTGCATTGGTGCAAAGGTGTCATATAAGGTCCCCTGGAACTGGAGTTACAGACAGTTGTGAGCTGCCATGTGGGTGCTGGGAATTGAACCCAGGTCCTCTGGAAGAATGGCCAGTGAGTGCTCTTAATCACTAAGCCATCTCCAGCCCCCAGTATTTGTCTTCTTAAGATAATACTCCTTCACTAATTTTAATGCCTTCAAGGTCCATCTTGTTGTGCGGTGTCAGAATCTTTTAAGTCTGAATAACATTCCACTAGGAATGCTCCACATTTTGTTCAGTTATCCTTTGATAGACATTTGCGTCCTCTCCATTTCCCCGTGTTGATAATGCTGCTGTGAACATGATGTACAGATATCCTTCAAGACCCTCCTTTCAGGTGTTTTGGCTATCCACCTATGAGTGGAATTGCTGGCTTATAGAAGAGTAACATTTAAACTTTTGTTTTGTTTGTTTTGTGAAGTTTTTGTTTGGTTTTTGGAGACAGGGTTTCTCTGTGTAGCTTTGGAATCTGTCCTGGCACTCGCTCTGTAGACCAGGATGGCCTTGGAATCAAGTGCTGGGATTAAAGATGTGCGCCACCAATGCCTGGCTTGTGGAGATTATTATTTGTATGTTTGTTTGGTTTTTAGCGCCTACTCTGTAGCCCAGGCTAACCTGGTACTTACAAGGTAGACCAGCCTGGCCTCGTTTATAAAGTTCCTTTCTGCCTCCTGAGTACTGAGCAGTTTCAAAGTTTTGTGTTTTCTCTGCACATAATATCCACGGATTCCAGCTTTACCTAGCCATACCACACCTTTAATCCCAGCACTTGAGAGGCAGGAACAGGTAGATCTCTTGAGTTTGAGGCCAGCTAGGTCTACATGAGTTTCAGGCCAGTCAGAGTTACATAGTCAGACCCTGCTTCAAAAAACAGTGGTGATAGTCATCAGGGACTAGGGAAATACTTCAGTTGGTAATGTAGTTGCCATACTAGTATAACTTAATGAAGTTAGAGCATTGGGTGGCAGAGGCAGGCAGATTCTAGGAGCAATCTATCTAGCCAGCCTTGCCAATTGGTGAGCTACAGGTTCAGTGAGACAAGAAGACAACCTACATTGATATTTAACCTCCCAATGTACTTACCTATCCCCGTGTGAGAACAAGCCACACACATGCCACCTCCACATAAAGAAATCAGAGTGAGAGGGAGAATTTGGCCTCTCTAAAGTGTACAGGTGGGCTGACTTGATCATTTCTGCTTCAGTACTGGGGATCAAACCCAGGGCTTTGTGCACCCTAGGGAAGCATGCTACCACTAACCTACTTCACCTGTAGCAGAGGAACGGAACAGTTGTGCATTGGGGAAGCAAGATCGTAAGCGTCAATGTATACTTATATGTATTTACATAAGTATGCCTGCAGAGAAAATAATCTGGAAATAAAAATAAAAATGTTCATACCAGCCCAGCAGTGGTGGTGTATCCCTCTAATCCTAGCTCTTGGGAGGCAGAGTTTGAGGTCAACCTGGTCTACAAAGCAAGTTTCAGGACAGCCAGGGCTGCACAGAGAAACCCTATCTTGGAAAACCAAGAAAAGAAAGGAAAAAAAGTTAGTATGACAGCCTGTTTCCTCTTCCAAATCCCCCGATAAACATACATGAATTTATTATCAGAGTAGGGGAAACAAGCAAAACTTAAGCAAAGAAGCCACTTGGGGCACATAGTCTTAGTGCCCCAATACTCACAGCATAGGCTGTGCTCAATACTGCCTACCAGCCTCTGTACCCTGCACTACCGTTTCCAGGTACCCTGTTGCCTGATCATGTGCTCTGTAATTACAGATTGGCTTCACCACAGACCCTCGGATGGCCCGTTCCTCCCCCTACCCCACTGATGTGGCCCGAGTGGTGAACGCCCCCATTTTCCACGTCAACTCAGATGACCCTGAGGCTGTCATGTATGTATGCAAGGTGGCAGCTGAGTGGAGGAGCACCTTCCACAAGGATGTTGTCGTTGATCTGGTAAGTGATGCCAGGGTACGCACATCCAAGCAGAATGTCTGGCCTGTCCCTTAGTCTTGCTAAGTCACCGTGGGTCTTTGTAATGTCATACTTCAGGTAGGATCCTTCTGCTTCTAGAGTATTCAGACACACACTTGCCTCTGAATACTCCTCAGCAGGAGCTATGTGGTCCATCTTGTCTTATGTAAGACTGCTTTACAAATAGTTTGTGCCGGGTGGTGCAGGCTTGTAATCCCAGCACTCAGGAGGCAGAGGCAGGTGGATCTCTGAGCTCAAGGCCAGCCTGGTTTACAGAACAAGTTCAAGGACAGCCAGGGCTACACAGAAAAACCCTGTCTCCAAAAAAAACAAAAATTAATTTCGCCATGTAAAAGAAAGAAAATCAAAATCTTAGCTGTAGAGGAAGTACATTGAAGCAAAGCAGTAACCGCCATGTTGCCATTACACCGATGTGGCAGATACCCCCAACACACACACACAATAGTGTTCTTTTCTACAGACCAGCCACACTCTCTCATAGTCCTCTCTTGCTACTCTAACTAGGTATGTTATCGACGCAATGGCCACAATGAGATGGATGAACCTATGTTTACACAACCACTCATGTACAAGCAGATCCGCAAGCAGAAGCCTGTACTGCAGAAGTATGCAGAACTGTTGGTATCCCAGGGTGTCGTCAACCAGCCCGAATATGAGGTGTGTCCTGGCAGGCCTTTGGTCCTAAGCAAACTAGAGATCATCCCAGGCCAGTCTTCTTCTTAGGACCCCAGTGAAAGCATGTGAGGTCTTGACAACTGTAGCATTTCAGCATTTCAACTTGAACTTTTTAAAGGAAGATAGGGATGTAGAGATGAGGGAGTGACTACCCAATAGCTTCTCTGTTGACACGGGCTATTTGGGTTGAGACATGTATAAACGGGGGTCCATGCAGCTTGGTAAAGATCCTATATGATCTGCACAGAGCATTCTGCCCCTGACAGTATGAACAACAGTTGTAGACATCTGGGATGGTGCTGAGGCACAGACTGGACAGCTGCTGAAGGGGCAGCTCCTAAGCCTACTTACAAATACATAAAACTGAAGCAGTTCTTAGGAAAACGTTTGATCTAGGAGCTCAGACTAAACAGACTCTAAGCCAAGTGATGCAGGGAATGAGGACCAGAAATTAAAGGCTTCTTTCAGATGTTAAAGAGGCTGTTTTTTGGAAACTGGCCACTCTGAGTAAATACAATGGGTGGGTCATTGGGTGTGCAGAAGTGCAGAGGGACTGAAGGCCAGGGTACAGTAGGCCTGTATGACATGGGTGCTGTGCTCGGTTAGCTATGTGTATCCACCCACTCTTCCAGGAGGAAATCTCCAAGTATGACAAGATCTGTGAGGAAGCATTCACCAGATCCAAAGATGAGAAGATCTTGCACATCAAGCACTGGCTGGATTCCCCCTGGCCTGGTAAGCAAGGGACCATTACCCCAGATAGACTCCTTGTAAAGAGGATGTAACCATGAAGCCCTTCCTAGACAAAGCTCCTGCTCTCCTCCTCTGTACCCACAACACATAGTGAGTGTTCATTCAGCAAGGCCTCTGGTCCTCAGGGCCATCTAGGCTTTATTGTCTTTTACTTTCCATTTACCCAAAACCGTGGGGTACTGTGGTGAAGTTTCTAGAAAGGCAGAGAGAGCTGTTACTCTGGTCTGCTCTGCAGGTGCCCAGCCTATCTCTGTTCTCTTAGGTTTCTTCACCCTGGATGGACAGCCTAGGAGCATGTCCTGCCCCTCTACTGGCCTGGAGGAGGATGTCTTGGCCCACATTGGGAATGTCGCCAGCTCTGTACCTGTGGAGAACTTTACCATCCATGGAGGTAACCAACCCTGCACTTGCCTGTGGAAACACAGGTCTAGATCAGCACCTCTTGAAGATAGTGTTCTCAGCCATGCACTGTAGAAACTCCCTATCCCGAACCCACTGGGTGTGTTGGTAGACTCAGCTCCCACAACACTCAAGTCCAAGTCCTTCACTTGGAAAGAAGCAGAGAAGCAACTAAAAGGTCACCATTTTGCTGTCCTAACACTGGGTGACAAAGTCTCTGCCTGTGTCTGTGTCCCTGAAGCACAGACAGTAAGATGTCCACATGAGCTGGGCCTGCAGTATTGTGAGTGCTACTCTTTTTTATTTATTTGTTTGTTTGTTTGTTTGTTTATTGGTTTTTCTAGGCAGGATTTCTCTGTGTAGTTTTGGAGCCTGTCCTAGAATTCACTCTGTAGGCCAGACTGACCTTGAACTCACAGAGATTCATCTGCTTCTGACTCCCAAGTGCTGGGATTATGTGCGCCACCACTGCCCAGCATCTCATTCTCTCTTTCTCTGCAGGGCTGAGCCGGATCTTGAAGACTCGGAAGGAGCTAGTGACAAACCGGACTGTGGACTGGGCCCTGGCAGAGTACATGGCATTCGGATCACTCCTGAAGGAAGGCATCCACGTCCGGCTGAGTGGCCAGGATGTGGAGCGGGGCACCTTTAGGTAACAAAAATATTTACCCTTGGGGGAGGGGGAGGGAAATGGGAGGCAGCGGTGGGGAAGAGACAGAAATCTTTAATAAATAAATATATATATAAAAAAATATTTACCCTTCAGTTTGAAACGGAAGGGAAGGGCTTTGGAATCTAATACTCCAGAGTGGGGGAAGTCATTTCCAGAAAAGTCACTGCATCCTCAGTGTCGAGGCTGCCCCACCCTTTCCTCTTGTGTTGTGGATGCTGGGAGGACTGTATTCTGAAGCATCTGGCAGAAAGACGAGTTGTCACAGTGGATCTACCAGAGCTTCAAGTTTCATGTGGTTGGTTCAAATATGTGTACTCCTGCTTATTAATCTTGTCATTCTGCCTCAGTCATCGCCACCACGTGCTCCATGATCAGAATGTAGACAAGAGAACCTGCATCCCCATGAACCACCTTTGGCCCAATCAGGCCCCCTACACTGTTTGCAACAGCTCGCTGTCTGAGTATGGTGTCCTGGGTAAGGCCAACTCCAACCCCCCCCCCCCCACCTCAAGTCTTCTGCATCCCTTGCCTGGTGTCCTGACATGCCGTTCTTCCTTTTCTGTCCACTATAGGCTTTGAGCTGGGCTTTGCCATGGCTAGCCCTAATGCTCTGGTTCTCTGGGAGGCTCAGTTTGGTGATTTCAACAACATGGCACAGTGCATTATTGACCAGTTCATCTGCCCAGGACAGGCAAAGTGGGTGCGGCAGAATGGCATTGTGCTCCTGTTGCCTCATGGCATGGAAGGCATGGTGAGATCTTCCCCTTGCCCACCAAATTCAAGTCCTGGGAAGGACCTGTTCAGGACCCCATCCCAAAGACCAGAGTGTTCTGTTAGTGTTTCCCATCCACTTGATGGGAAAACTAGAAGACTTTGGAAGGCAAGAGTGGCCCAGCTGCATGCAGCCTGAATATGAATAGCCATCCCTAAGTGGGCAGCAGATGGTGCTAATACTGCTCAGTCTCCTCATCCCTGCTGCCCTGTACTTTGCTAGTGGGAAAGGGAAGAATCAAATGAGTTCTGACATCAGGAGGAAGAAACAACAAGTATAGTAGATGTCAGCATGTGAGAACTTGCAAACTGATTTGTGTGTCTGCTTCCAGGGTCCAGAGCATTCCTCTGCCCGCCCAGAGCGGTTTCTGCAGATGTGCAATGATGACCCAGATGTCCTGCCTGTGAGTAGAACAGACCCTGATACTCAATTGCCTACGGGCATCTAGGAAAGAATTCCATTTGGATGTCCTGAGGGGTCAGATCTCAGCTGCAGCTGGTGCTCCCTCGGGCTTAGGCTTAGGAATCAGAAGGGTAGCTCAGTGTGACCCCATGCCTTCTGATCTCCCTGAAATAGGCTACTTCATTTGTTTCCTGCTGTTGCTGAAAGCCAAGGGTCCTCGGTCTGACCTCTTAGGTGATATTGCCATTGCTCTGGTTCAAATAGGATTTTAAGGCAATTTTAAAGAACTCGGAACTCTACTGGGAATCAGTTTCTAAGGAAGAATAGACTTAACTATAGCCAGCACCTGTGTCTCCTATATTCCATACATCCACTGCCAAGTAGCCTTGAGAAGCTGCCAAGGGTTAAATGGAACCAGACTCAGGGAACCTGTGGCCCCTGCTCCTGTCTGTAGTGAGTCCTTGAGTCTCCGGTGAGACATCCTGAGGCACCTCTGCCCTAAGTTACCCTTCTCCCAGGCAAAGTGCTCACAGCTGCTGCTGGCCTCTGGCCATTTCCTTCCATGCTGCAGGATCTGCAGGAAGACAACTTTGATATCAATCAGCTGTACGACTGCAACTGGATTGTTGTCAACTGTTCCACCCCTGGCAACTTCTTCCATGTACTTCGACGACAGATCCTGCTGCCCTTCCGGAAGCCGGTCAGTGCTGGTTCTCCAGAATGACCAGGGTGCTGGCCTTCCTGTGTTACCACAAAGACAGGCTCCCCTGGTGTCTGTTCCTGTAGGTTGGGTGGATGATACCTAAAGGGGAATAAGGGTGAGGCGTGTTCTCAGGAAGCCAGGCCTGTTGTCATGAATGCCAGCGAACTGCACCTTCTCACTTCTAAACTGAGTCCTCACATGCTCTTGAGTACCACATGGGAGAGTCTGACAGAACACAGTCGTCAGCTCAGCAGGGAGGACAAGTATAGCCGTGGTATATTGAGAAATAAGACAGGTTGTCATGTAGGTATGCTGAACACTGGAAAAAAGGTGAGCCCCAGCAGGGACCGAGGAATTCCAGGAGCCCAGAAAGCAGCGTTTAAGCTGCGTGTTGAAGTGTGAGTAGGAGTTGTGTGGGAAGCGAAAGTGGGCAGAATGATCAGAAAGAGAGAATCTGGGGTAAGGATACAGGGAGAGTCCTGCTGCCCTGGGATACCGCAGAGGGTGAATGCAAAGCTAAGGCTTCCAGCTTTGTGTACCTAGTAGCCTGCAGGCCCACCAGGCAGAACAGCCCTAGTGCTAGGCCTTAGCTTTAGACAGGCTAAAAGTGCCTTATCTCTAAGACCACTGAGAGCTGCTCAGCTCACCAAGGAGGGGCTCCAGGCAGATGGTCATGGAGAGTAAATACCTACCCAGAAGAGGTGAACAGCAGAGAAATTGGTGTCTTCCTTTTTCTTCCTGTATTTTGTGAGCCTCCCATTGAGATGTGGAAGACAGACTATCCTGACTTTGTACCAAAAATCAAGGTTTAGATGGCCCTTACCTTGTACTTCCATTCTAGAATCTTTAAAATATAGTCTACTGTGAGACCGGGCGGTGGTGGCGCACGCCTTTAATCCCAGCACTCGGGAGGCAGAGGCAGGCGGATCTCTGTGAGTTCGAGACCAGCCTGGTCTACAAGAGCTAGTTCCAGGACAGGCTCCAAAACCACAGAGAAACCCTGTCTCGAAAAACCAAAAAAAA